CCCACCCGACCCAACACACACACACCTACACTACCCACCCCACCCAACACACACACACACTCCCCACCCCCCCAACACACACACACACACACACGTGCACACACACACACTCCCACCCCCACACACATGCATTCCCTGCTCCCCCATCCCCCTCAGACAGACACACACACACACAGATATAAATGGGTGAATTTGTATTTGTACTTACACTCTATTTTGTTCAAAAAGCACAATTTATAGACAGTGGCGTTTTGTAAATTCCTTCTTTAGAAATAAAACCAGTCTGACTCCAAACCAAAACGCAAGTAGATTCTAAACAAGGCCTCACACCTAACATACACTGTCTGACCTAAAATGTCACCTCTTCTTTACACTGATAAAACCTTTAGTTCTCTCAGGACTGTGACTTGAAAGAAATTCAGGGATTTAAATATATACATATTAATCAATTAAAACCTTCTAACTGGTTAAAGATTTAACAACATCTTAGATTTGTTTAGTATATCCTCATCAGTGGTGTGACCCTTTGATCTTTTACTTATACATTCTGTGTCTGATACTATCTCTCTCACTAACACCTGAAGGAGGAGGGAGGCTTGGAAAGCTTGTGTTTTCAAATGAACCTGTTGGCCTATAGCCTGGTGTCGCATAAATGAAAGGGAAAGTGACACAAAATAAACAAAATTCCCTATTATAACTTGGACTTGTAGAAATGAAGTACTAATGGGTAGTTGCTTTTACAAAAAAAAATTAAACTCGTATTTCTAAAAAGAAATTCTCAATGATTTTGTTCAATCAAACAGGAACATCACTGGAAACCATGAGAAACTCATTCAGACCAACAATGGTTATATGGAAATGCCATTTACAGAGAGATTGTGAGATGCTTTCAATCATTGCTGTAATTAATAAACAAACAGCTTTATTCAGATGACGATCAAGCAATTTTCAATCTTTACAAGTTGTTGAGTAGGATAAAAAAGTAGTAATTTACCAAGGAAATGAGATCTACAAACATAATTTTTAAAAGTGGATCTTCCACAAGCTTCAGAGTAATGTATGTAGTCTTTCATTCTACATTTTGAGCCGTGATAAACTAACTGAAGCAAATAAATTCAAAATAAACTCATAACGTTACATCAAGGTGCAGACCACAAACTGGAATCAAATAAATTCAGAGCTAGAGTTTCTGCCCACTAACAATGAAAGGTTAGAAATGTCAAGGTGTCGATCTCAAACGGAATTCAAAACTAAAATTGCTGTAACAAAAATTAAATTACTATTTAAATTTTTGGAGCCCACAATATGAAAGCATACATTAAAAATGAAAAAAATTGACTACACTCTTCACAATTGAGGCTTATCTATCAGTAGAGGTAAATTATGACCTGCCTCACAAGCAAAAATCACAGATTTCTGACTGGATCATTTATGAGATTAGCATTGCTGAAGCTTGAAAAATAGCAGGATGACAAGTGATATCATGCTTTCACAATTCTGGCAGTTTTCCCCACAGTGTACAATCCATATTTGGTGTAAAGGCATCAAACAGTAAATAAATATCAACTGTCAGTCATCATTAAATCAGAAGAAATGCCACAGACAGTGAAAACACCATTTATACTGTATAAAAGGAGAACTTGCCAGGTAGACTCTGGAGAACACCCAGTTAATGATAACTGATAGTTAACCATCAAGCTTTAAATTTTAGACCAGGCAGGTTGACTGATTGTTCAAGCCACTAGCCCTGTGAAATGAGCCAGAGAATGGAGTCACGTATTTTATTGACTTGAAACAGACAGGGTGTGTGTACACATTCTTGTTGTCTGTAAATAAAATATGGCCCTTTGTATTAATATATTAGTTTCTAGCAATGACACGTGCCCGACTCATGATCCTAAACTGTTTGTGTAATTCGTCACACACTCCGCATTACAGAGCTAATGTCATCCAATCGCGGAATCATACTTAATGTTGGACAATGTTGAGCATTTTGTCAGCGCAAGTTGGTTGTGTACGATCAAACCTTACTTATTGTCAACAGCCAAATATCCATACTGTTTGTACAATCTGCCTGTTTTTGGAATGCAAGGCCTACATACCTATCACCACACTGGTACAGAAATTCATATAACCACATTACTTGTTTATGAGATAGGCAGAATTACTTTATGGCTTGATAGCAGCAAAGTATGACAAGCAAGACAGAAAAGGATATTGAAAACAAAAGACATATAATTCAGATCAACAGAAAGTGCAGGCAGTTTATGTATGGCTTTCTCCAGCAACTGGTCGCTGCTGGAGAAAATTTTATTTAAGTGTGAAAATGTATTTGTGTAACAGAATATTCCACAAAAAAAACATTTGTTTCAAATACACGGGATGGAAGAACAATCATGGACAACAGAATGATCCATAAGTGCCAACTTTCAGTGGAGACAGTTTGCACCCTTTAACAGGATCATCTGCAAATTTAGGAAAGATCACGATTACATAAAAACAAATCAACAAATGGAAATCAAGACTAATTTTCAAAAAATTACCCTGAATGAAATTAAATTGTAGAAACAGTGTAATCGGAATCACCTTAGCTACTGTGGCAGTCGAGATGCTCCAAAATTGACTGCCAGTTTCCTGTGCTTGCGTTTACCAGATGAACCTGCCACTGGCCTTTGCTGCCCTTGGGGTTGAACAGAGGTCTGTACAATTGCTTTATTCTGGGATTCGAGGGGAATTCGACCAGGCTGAAAAAAATTTCTTGAGGTGCTACCAGAAGGATACCCGTGTGATGATGCATTCGAAAAGTCCATCGTAGTTGGTGGTTGATTCAGCTTTTGCTGAATTGAATGATTATACTCCTTGTCATCATATGTTTTATTAAAGCTTGTCCGCCTCTTGGTCACCTTTGAAACAAGAAAAACACACATGGTGATCTCTACAACAAATGTTTCAAGAATAGAATAGAATAGAATCCCTACAGTGTGGAAACAGGCCCTTCGGCCCAACAAGTCCACACCAAACCTCAGTGCATCCCACCCAGACCCATTCCCCTGTAACCCACCTAAGCTACACATCCCTGAACACTATGGGCAATTTAGCATGGCCAATCCACCTAACCTGCACATCTTTGGACTATGGGAGGAAACCGGAGCACCCAGAGGGGGATTCTTTTTTGGTTCTTATTGCGTGGACGGGGTGTGAGGGATGAGGTGCGGGAGATACGGTTGAGGGCGTTCTCGACCACCGAGGAGGGGAAGTTACGGTCCTTGAAAAACGAGGACAACTGAGATGTACGGGAGTGGAATGCCTCATCCTGGGAGCAGATGCGGCGGAGGCGAAGGAATTGGGAATAGGGGATAGCATTTTTGCAGGAAGGTGGGTGGGAGGAGGAGTATTCTAGGTAGCTGTGGGAGTCGGTGGGCTTGACATGAATATCAGTTTCTTGGTGGTTGCCCAATATGGAGACAGAGAGGTCCCCGTACATCTCAGTTGTCCTCGTTTTTCAAGGACCGTAACTTCCCCTCCTCGGTGGTCGAGAACGCCCTCAACCGTGTCTCCCACATCTCCTGCACCTCATCCCTCACACCCCGTCCACGCAATAAGAACCAAAAAAGAATCCCCCTCGTCCTCACGTACCACCCCACCAACCTCCGGATCCAACGCATCATCCTCCGACACTTCCGCCATCTGCAATCCGACCCCACCACCAAAGACATCTTTCCCTCCCCACCCTTATCTGCTTTCCGGAGGGACAACTCTCTCCGTGACTCCCTTGTCCGCTCCACACTCCCCTCCAGCTCCACCACACCCGGCACTTTTCCCTGCAACCGCAGGAAGTGCTACACCTGCCCCCATACCTCCTCCCTCACCCCTATCCCAGGCCCCAAGAAGACTTTCCACATCAAGCAGATGTTCACCTGCACATCTGCCAATGTGGTATACTGCATCCGCTGTACCCGGTGTGGCTTCCTCTACATCGGGGAAACCAAGCGGAGACTCGGGGACCGCTTTGCAGAACACCTACGCTCGGTTCGCAACAAACAACTGCACCTCCCAGTCGCGAACCATTTCAACTCCCCCTCCCATTCCTCAGACGACATGTCCATCCTGGGCCTCCTGCAGTGCCACAACGATGCCACCCGAAGGTTGCAGGAACAGCAACTCATATTCCGCTTGGGAACCCTGCAGCCCAATGGTATCAATGTGGATTTCACAAGTTTCAAAATCTCCCCTCCCCCCACCGCATCCCAAAACCAGTCCAACTCGTCCCTGCCTCCCTAACCTGTTCTTCCTCCCACCTATCCCCTCCTCCCACCTCAAGCCGCACCTCCATCTCCTACCGACCAACCTCATCCCGCCCCCTTGACCTGTCCGTCCTCCCTGGACTGACCTATCCCCTTCCTAACTCCCTACCTACACTCACCTTTCCTGGCCCCATCCCCGCCTCTTCGACCTGTTTGTTTCCTCTCCACCTATCCTCTCCCCCTTTTCTGATGAAGGGTCTAGGCCCGAAACGTCAGCCTCTCTGCTCCTATGATGCTGCTTGGCCTGCTGTGTTCATCCAGCCCTGCACCTTGTTGTCTCGGATTCTCCAGCATCTGCAGTTCCTACTATCTCTGATTCAATAATTTGAGGGGTGTTTATTTTACTTCTTTCATGTTATTAGGATAATTGAACTGTTCAACTATGAACTACTTTTGATGGGTACTCATTTTTCTTTTGTTTCTAATTTGCAAGGAAATGTGCCATTACAAAAAATGAGGTTGATGATCCATTAGATAGTAGGAACTGCAGATGCTGGAGAATCTGAGATAACAAGGTGTAGAGCTGGATGAACACAGCAGGCCAAGCAGCATCAGAGGAGCAGGAAGGCTGACGTTCCGGGCCTAGACCCTGCTTCAGAAATGCCATCAGAGGAGCAGGAAGGCTGACGTTTCGGGCCTGCCCTAAACGTCAGCCTTCCTGCTCCTCTGGCCTGCTGTGTTCATCTAGCTCTACACCTTGATATCTCTTATCATTGATGATCCATTAACCTGTTTTGGTGGTGTTATCTGCAGGATCATTGTTATCCAGGTCACTGGAAGAACTAATACACTCTTCATTGCCACAAGTCTTTTACAACCATATGTAGAAGTCCTCAACCCAACAATTGTCACCTACGACAATGCAACATTTCCTCAGCACTGCACTGAAGTGTCAACTTTGAAGGACAGATTTTTGGTCTTTTTTGGGGAATCAAGGGGCATGGGGCATGGACAGGATGTGAAGTAGAGTTGAGACCAAGCATTAGCCAGGAATACAGCAGCAGGTTCAAGAGGTCAAATGGTCTACTCCCATTTCGAATGATCTTATACCATCAAGATGGAGGAGAGCTTAAACTCAAACCTCAGAGTCTAAAATGAGAATTACACCACTGAACCAAACAAATCACTTCTATTCATTCCCAGAAAAGGAGCATTTCCTACCTCAACAACATTTTAAAAACAAAAGTACAGGAATTCACATTTCCTAGGCTTTAAAAGCTGACAATTCAGTGCAGGATTTTAAAAATATATGCACTGTCTTGTGTCTGAAAAGTTAGAACAGGGCCCCTGGCTGCTTGCTCAGGTGATTGTTAAACAACCTTGAAGCATTAGTTGTTCTGGGTATTCTGGTCAACATTGTTCCCTGAAATACCATGAAAAAAACTGCTTTTTGTTCATACATTGGTAGCCTTGTCCAATGAACAGTGCGAACCTTTAACTTGACCCAAGTTGAAGTACTTCAATAACAGGCATTACATTAACAAATTAACTACATTAACAAATCATGATTTTTAAAAAAATGTGAAGCAGCATGCAATGAGAATTCTGAGACTCGAGGGAATTTTTACTCTCCAAAACCTAACTCAATAGAAGCCAAACAGGAATCAGTCAAAAAGTAGCCAATCAACTGACTGTTCCATTCCCACCAGCTGTGGATTTAAACATCACTAATTCAAAGTCAATCATTAGCTCAGACGGTTGGATGGCTGGTTTGTGATGCAGAGTAATGCTAACAGCATAGGTTCAATTCCTGCACCAGCTGAGAATACAATGAAGGACTTTCATTCTCAACATCTCCCCTGGCCTGAGATGAGGTGACCCCAGGTTAGAACCACCACCAGACATCTCTCTCTCTCTCTAATGAAAGACAACCTATGGTCTGGAGGACTATGTGATTACTGTTTCTTCCTAAATTAGGCATCATGTTATGTAAATTGGGGTCTTATCCGCGCTTGAGTACACAAATTCAACAAGATTTCTTATCAAGACATATCAAGAAAGAGAATAGTGCTTCAGCTTTCCCAATTGCAGAGAACACATTTTTAGAATAAAAAAGCCATGGAAACGTACCTGCAAAGGCACAAATTGATTGTGAGTACCAATGAGCACTCCTCCAGGGCAGATGTTTCCTGAATATGGGATCTGAAAGCTATTGTACAGCGGGGGAGGAATCAAAGTTGTCCAAGGCATAGGACCATATCCATTAGGAGCTGTAGGCATCATGCCACCTGAGGATTGAAAGACATTCAAATATTGTGAGATTATTTCACATTTGGGAATGTTTTAAAAATGGACTGTTCTCATCCTCCTTTATTCATTTATAATTTTAATTTTCAACTGTTTCAATTTTCATTTCATGCCATTTCTCACTCCTAAGCGATTTGACATGCTCAGCAATACTGAGTTTGCTTTCTGCCTCTTTCCCTGCCTGCTATGTTTGGTCTGTTGCATTCAAATTGTAATCTCATGTCCCTGAATGTCATTTCTGGGGTGAAAACAAAAAAAAAATAAAAAAAATAAAAAAAATCGACATTTTCCTGAGCAATAGCACAACTCCAGTAAAGTTGCACGGCAGACAAATTCAACTTGCATGAAGTGACTATTACAGCATTAAATTACCCCTTAACTATTTTAGATAACAGCTTTTCTTGGAATTAGCTAATCGTAAAAAGTAAAACAAAATTTAAAAACAAAAACACATTTCTAATTTAATAATTAAATCCAATTTCTAAAATTTCAATACAGTAGTCATGGCAAGCATGGAAAAACAACAGAAACTGAATAATGTTGCCTGGGCAAAAGCATCCCAAAACTCAAGAAAATATCCACGCTAAGGAGTACATGGAGAAATAAAGAGACATTAACATATGGTAAACACTTCTTGATTTTTTGCATAAATTTCATAAATTTCCATGGCCTACTTAACATTTTTCTAAACAAAAAGGCACCAATACCTTACTATTTTTGTACCATAGGTTATTCAAAACTAAAATGGAAAAGCTACAGTAATTAATGTATGCTAAGGTTTTAATTATTAGATATTTCTTACCAGGGGTCTGACCAAAGGATGGTGGAATGACAGGTGATGGTACGGCTCCTGCAACTGGTTGATAACTGGAAAACATATTTGGAGGGAGGGGAACATTTTGTCCCGTGGCATTCTGTATGACCAAAAGTTTAAACAGCAAATAAATACCACAACTAAAATGAGACAGCAATAGGTATGTTTCTTTTTAAAATACTAGATTAAATAAACTGAAATCTTAATTGGCATATTAGCAAGTTGAAAAGAGCAAAGGATGTTGTTTGTACCAGTCGCTGTAATGCAAATGCTGCAGCTTTTTCCTGGGCATCACTGTCTGACTGGCACTGAGGTCCATGCACAAGCAAACCATTTGCTAACTTTACTTGGCAAACAGTCAGGCCCTAGTGAAAACAAATGCATTTCATTAACAACCAGTGGTTGAATCATGTGTATACTAGTGGATAAATGATTGCAATTATAAAGAGACATAATGTTAATATACAAAGATGAAAAAGGATAACTGGGATAACCAAATCTAAACACAAAGTACGTTCTTAATAAGTAAAACAAAGAATTGTAGACACTTGAGATCTTAAATAAAAACACAAAATGCTGGAGAAACTCAGTAGGGTTGGCAGCATCTGTAGAGAGAGAAACTGTCCAGACGTGTCCAGACAAATGATCACTGAATTCAAAACATTAGTTTTATTTTTCTCTACAGATGCTGCCAGACCTGCTGACCATCTTAAGGATATCCGATTTCCCACTAACTGAAACCATTTCACTTCCAGTCCTACTTCAATGGAAGAATCTATATCTTTCATGAACACTAAATTTCTCTTCCAATTTACAGTGTAAATTATTTTGTCTATTATCCTAGCAAACCAGATGTTCTAAAGAAGGGATTCTGAACTTCCACAACAATTAAAAGAGTATGGTTTCTCCAAATAATCAGCATCTCCACGACCAGATGCAGTATCAGTTAGCCACCAGAAGTAGCAGGATTATGTAGCGTTTTGAGGTGTGAGTAGGTTATTATTACAATGGTACTTTGACATTATTTTTAAATCTTTTATTGGGAAATATTTTGCTCAATATCCTTCTGTATACGTTATCATTGGTTGTTGTGTTTAGTGATTATTAAAATAATATTTACTCCTTTGCTACATTCCCCTCGGCTGAAATACAGTTCAAAGCACATAACAGTTAAAATGAATACTTCAAATACATCGATCCAACAAATAAATCTTCATCACTACTTTTAAGAAGCAGCACTGCAGTACAGATCAGCACCCACTCACATTCTGTATTGGAAACACTTTGAGGGGAGGTGGAGGAGTTGTGGTAAGACTCGCAATCCAGAACACCAGGCTCATGCCTGGGGTTCAAATGCCACCATGGCAGAAGGTCAAATTTGAATTCAATAAAAATCTGGAATTAAAAAACTCACTTTATGGCAACTAGGTAACCATTGTCATTTGTCATAAAAACCTATCTTTTTCACAGTAATTGAATAATTGAGACCATTTTTGGGGAAGGTGGGACCTGTTCAAGAGGGAAGGCCTTCACCTAAACCATGACAGGACTAATATTTTCGTGGGTGGTTTTGTTACCACTGTTGGGTGGACTTTAAAGTAGATTGGCAGCGTGATGGGAACCTAAGGAAAGGCTCTCAGTTAGTGGGAGTGGGTGAGGGCTTAAGGAAAAACAGAATCAAGGTAGTTAAAAAAAAACCAAGAAGCATCTGAGCAGTGTAGCATTAAGATGATTGGAAACCAGATAGTGACAGAAAAAGATAGAATGTTTAAAAAACAAAGGTTCTTCTGGTGAAGGTGTTAAGAATCAAAAAGGTATTAAAACTGGCATAAGAGCACTTTATCTGAATGCTCACTGAATTCGAAACAAGATAAACGAGTTGATGGCACAAATCATCACGAATGGGTATGATTTAGTGGCCATTATAGAGAAATGGTTGCAGCGTGGTCACTACTGGGAATTAAATATCCAGGGGTATCAGACTATTCTGAAGGACAGACAGGAAAGAAAGGGAGGTGGTTTAGCTCTGATATTTAAGGATGACCTCAGGGCAGTAGTGAGAGATGATATAGATTCTATGGAGAAAAAGGCTGAAACAATGTGGGTGGAAATTATAAATAGTAAGGGGAAAAAGTCACTGATAAGCATAGTCTACAGGCCACCAAATAATAACATCACAGTGGGCAGGCAATAAACAAAGAAATAACTGATTCATGTAAAAATGGGACAGCACTTATAATGGGGGATCTTAATCTACATATTGATTGGTCAAACCTCCCAAGTCAGTCAAGGCAGCCTTGAGGAGTTTGTAGAACGTATTCACAACAGTTTCCTCAAACAGTATGTAATGGAACCAGTGAGGAAGCAAGCTATCCTAGAACTGGTCCTGTTTAATGAGAGAGGAATAATTAATGATCTCACAGTTAAGGATCCTCTCCAGAGAAGTGATCACTGTATGGTGAATTTAAAATACTGATAGAGGGTGAGAAGCAAAATCCAATACCAGTGTCTTGTGCTTAAACAAAGGAGACATCAATGGGATGAGGGAGGTGCTGGCTAAGGTAGACTGGGAGCAAAGACTATATGGTGGGACAATTGAGGAGCAGTGGAGGACTTTCAAGGTGATTTTTCACAGTGTTCAGCAAAAGTAAATACCAGTGAAAAGGAGGGACTATAGGAAAAGGGACAATCAGCTATGGATAACTAAAGAAGGGTATCATTGTGAAAGCTAATGCATACAAAGTGACAAAGATTAGTGGGAAACTAGAAGATTACATTAGAGAGAGCAGCAGTATGGCGTTAAGGTAGAGGATCAACCACGATGTTGTTGAATGGTGGAAGAGGTTTGATGGGCCAAATGGCCTTCACTTTACCTATCTCTATTTTCCAAATTGCCATGGTTGAATTGACAGGTCAAAATAATTCCCTCCTAGATGTTGGTGACAATGTGGATTACCAAACCTGGTCAACACCAAAAGATTTTAATTCTTCACTGCAGTCTGCTAACCGAAACATTGATGGTGCCTGAAGCCACTTCTTTGCATCAGAACTCTGCTTTAAACTGTAAATAACCTGTTCCAACAAATACAAACCCAGATCACTAAAACCAGAGAAACCTTCCTCAGCTCTGCCCAGGTCAACTACAACACAGCCTGCTCAGAAGTTACTTTTAGGTTAAGTATCCCTCATTTACTTGCAATTTCTTTGATCTGATCAAATAATTGGGTTTTACAGCTTTTAAGAGTCCACTGATTTTTTTTTAAACTAACCTAGCTTTAATTCCCAAAGCAAACTAAAATAAGTCCACAGAGGCCAGTATCCGATCACTGAGTCACTCTTTATTTACATGTGCACAGTACTTGACACAGGTCTGGCTTCCTCGATACCAGCTCTCAGAATGAACAGAACCTCTGACTCTCCTGTTTATTTCTGTCACCCAGGGCTCCCTGATTGGGGCTGTTAATCCAGTCCAAACAGGGAACTCATATTCTATGAGGTCCACCTGGCTGATCTTGTTACAATCACTACACAAACAATCTCTCTGTTTGCACTAATAACGGTCCAATATAGACAGCATGTCTTTAGCTCAGCAAAACCCCACCTGCTGTTTCTGATCATGTGTTTCTGACTGTTCATCTCTTAAAGTAACATGGCCCTGACCTTTCAGATGCAACACATTACCATTTGCTTTAATTACTCATGGATCCCACTTTCCACAGTTCAAATTTAATTTTAAAAACTAAAAATTACATTCTAATTAGAACACATGGACCATGAACTAGCTACTTACATCACTAGACATGGGATATACTTGATCAACATTCCATTGTACTTCAATGCCAAGTAATTTAAATATCTGCAAATACCCTTCCTTGCTTAATATCTTTTTAAAAACTCAATCTAAGCCCAAATTAATAACAATCAATGGAAATGACTAAATTCATCAAGTTGCCTGCTAGTGCCATATAGTCAGCGACTGTGGCTTTGACTCAGACAGCCCATTTACACACATTACTAGGTTTCAATATGGGCCAGTGGCAGCACTCTCACTGAAATCAAAAACAGAATTCAAGCACAATTCCAAAGACTTTGGCATATAATCAAGGCTGACATTTCAATGGAGTGTTGTGGAGGTGCTACATTTTTAGGGGTGCTGTTTTTCAGATGAGAAATGAAATACTCTTGTGTGGACATGAAATAATCCAGATACTCAAAGAAGAACTGGGGAATTCCCCTGGTGTCCTTGCTATCATTTATCCTTCAACAAACATCCGACAGAGAGATTTTCAATCACTTATCTTGTTGCGATCTGTGAGACTTGACTGTGTATAAATTGCTGATATCTTCTGACATTACAATGTTTGAAACGTACCCATTGCCTGTAAAGCACTTCAGATTATCCTGAAGTTCTAAAAGATGCTGAACAACTGCAAGTTATTCGTTGCTGTAAAAAAATACACCCAAAATAACAAAACATTCCTTTACTGACAAACTCTCACGAGAAAATACATTCTGCATTATTAAGGCTGATAAATGAGTGACAGAATAGATCTGAACCTTGACCAAGCTTATAGGCAGTAGAAATCTGGAAATACATACACAAGATTTGGGGCTAAATGTCCATTCTGAAGGGGCACGACAGGGTAGATATTGAGAAGATGGTTCTGCGGGAGGGGGAAATCTCAAACTCGGGACATACTTACTGAATAAGACATATTTAAAATGGAGATGCAAATAAGTATCTTCTACAATAAAGTAATGAATGTCTGGAATTCTCTACCCCAGAGAGCTGTGGAGACTAAATTACTGAAAGTATACAAAGAGAAGGGTAATAGATTTTTGAAATATCAGCCAAGTTGATCGCTATCCTGAGCGGGTGTGAAACAATAGCAAATGGATGAAATGGATTTCTGAAGAAGGGTCCCGACCCGAAACTCCAACTTTCCTGCTCCTCTGATGCTGCCTGGCCCGCTATGCTCCTCCAGCTCCACACTGTGTTATCTCTGACTCCAGCATCGGCAGTTCTTAGCATCTCTGATTTTCCTAGCTAACATCAGTTCTGAAGAAGGGTCACTGGACATGAAACGTTAACTCTGATTTTTATTCACAGATGCTGCCAGACCTGCCGAGCTTTTCCAGCAACTTCTGTTTTTGTTGCATTCAAATTCAACATTTGTTTACACAGCTCAAACTGGAATTCTATGAGCAAATGATTTGACTGTGGAATAAATCAAAATTGTGAATTGAAGCTTGTAGATTTAGAAAGATGATAAAAGTAATGTGTCCTTGGATGGCAGAAATTTGGATGATTGAAATTTGGATGATTGTATGCCTGGCAATTCAATCTTAGTAATCAATATTATATTTCAGTACTGGTGAGAAATGCAAAAAGTAAATTCTTTAGCAACAGCTAAACCAATTCAAAAGGCAAAAGCTGAAATAGTGATCTGATTATCAAGTTCATCTTTGATCAGTAAAAGAATACAGGCAGTCCCTGCATTGTGAACAGGGTCCAGTCTCGAGTCCATTCACAAGTCGAATTGTATGCAAGTTGGAATACAATGCAGGATAATATAATATAGCCATTTGTCAGTACAAAGAAATGTTTGCATGTTAGATGCTTAAAATCAATATTAATATACCCTGCATGGGATCATAATTGTTAGCACGATTGCTCATAAGTCAAATATTCGTAAATCAGGGACCACCTGTTTTTGCAAGTTGCATTCTGATTCACACGTATGTTGTTCATTGCTAAGTATTAAACTATAAATTCAAATTTGTTCCAACCTGTGGGGTCCTCATGAAGCTAAAATCTGGATGTGGTAGACCAATTCTGGCACAAATGGTGAACAACTCAGACACTGAGGTGGATAAAGGAGGTTGCTGTCGTCCTTGATAATGACCTGAGAGATCTCCACTCTGTGAGCCCTGAGGTTTGTTGATTTGTGCAGCTGGGAAAAAAAATGACAAGATATGGTTTAAGCTATTTTCCACAGAAAAAAAAAAGAATTTTGCCAACAATAGGAATTAAATAGAAAATCCAACACTGTACATACATTGAATCTAACAGTATATTCTAGATACTCTGCATAGCTTCTAAGAAACTGTGCAAAATTAAAGTTTTCCTTTTAAAAAACAGCTTTGTGTTTAATGAAATACTTGTAGGATAAAGGGACTTGCTTTGATTTAAAGAATGCAAAAGGGTCAAAGAAACTGAAGTACCTAAAGTGTTAGCAATAAACAACTTCTGTCTTTGTTATTGATGATGGTAATTCAACAAACTCAATTTGACAAAAACACTACAAATAAACCTAAGTTGATGTCAAATTGCTGATAAATGATTCCAATATCAGTAGGTACTTTTTTTTAAAATTAACCCTTTTTTTGAAACAACCTGTACAGAGATGTTATTACATACCTCTGGAACAGATGGGATTTAAACCCAAAATTCTTAGTCTAGGGGTAGGGACACTACCAATGTGCTTTAAGAGTCTTAACAACTGCACATTTGTGACACCAGTTAAACTGGAAATGACATGAGATTTACTCAATTGACCTCTGAGGTCAACAGAAATTTGGCAAAATAGTTCTTCAGATAATCAGAAGGGGTGAATATTGCACGTGATCAAGAATTTGCTTTGTGGTACCAAGAGAATTACAATGAAACAGATAATAGGAGCAGGAATAGGCAATTTGATCCTTTGGGCTACTCCACCATACAATATGATCATGGCTGATCATCCAATTCAGTAGCCTCTTTGTGCTTTTTCTCCATAGCCTTTAGGGCCAATAACTATATATAAATCCTTCTTGAAAATATTCAATGTTTTGGCACCAATTGCTTTCTGTGGGAGAGAATTCTACAGGCTCACCACTCTCTGGGTGAAGAAATTTCTCCTCCTCTCAGTCCTAAATTGCTTACCCCATATCTTTAAGATTGTGAGCCCTGGTTCTGGACTCTCCAGTTATTGGGAACATCCATCCTGCATTTACCTGGTTTAGTCCTGTTAGAATTTTATAGGTTTCTGTGAGATTCTCCCAAACTCCAGTGAATATAATCATAACCGATCCAGTCTCTCCTCATACATCAGTCCAGCCATCTCAGGAATCAGTCTGATAAACCTTCATTGCACTCCCTCCATCACCAGAACATGCATCCTCAGATAAGGAGGCCAAAACTGCACATAGTACTTCAGATGTGGTCTCACCAAGGCCCTATACAATTGCAGCAAGTCATTCATGCTCCTGCACTCAAACACTCTAGCGTGAAGGCCAAAATGCCACTTGCCTTCTTTACAGCCTGCTACACGCTTACTTTCAGTGACTTGTGAATGAAGACATCAAAGTTTTGTTGCTCCTCGCCCTCTCCCAAGCAATTGGCATTCAGATAATAATCCGCACTCCTATTTTTGCTACCAATGTGGATAGCCTCACATTTATCCACATTATATTTCATCTACCATACCATACTCAATCAATTTGTCCAAGTTACAGTGAAGTATCTCTGCATCCTGCTCATAGTCCACCCTCTCACTCAGTTTCATGTCATGGGTGACAAGGTGAACTCGATGGATTATCATGTCTCATTATGATGCCAGTTTGAGATGCATGAGGATGACGCAGGATAAATTTAATATGATAAAAATTCCTGCATTTTCCATATCATTTTCTGTCATCAATTTGTCAAACTGCACAATGTTTATATGGGAAAAGTGCAAGTAGGTATTTAGCACCAATAGAAACATAGCTTACTGCAGAGTCAACATCACTGAAAGCAAGATTATTGGGAGGTAGTGGGGTGGGGAGAGGAGGAAGACAGGAGATGTGGTGGGGAGAGGAGGAAGACAGGAGATGTGGTGGGGGGAGGAGAAGAGCAGGGAGAGGGACAGGGAGACGAAGACAGAGAGACGGTAAGGTGGCAGATTCTCCATAAGGTTTCATGCTTGATTAGCTACCACTATATTGTCTTCGTTACTGATGATAAAATTACTTCCACATCGACATCCATTTCTCATGATTGTAGGTACAAGCAACAGATTCAATATAATCACGGAACTAGTTAATAATAGATGTGCATGAATGATCTACAGATAGTAGAGTCACAGAATCATACAGCATGGAAACAGACTCTTCGGTCCAACCAGGCCATGTCAACCACAATCCCAAATTAAACTAGTCCTACCTGCCTGCACTTGGCTCATATCTCTCCAAACATTTCTTATTCATGCACTTAACCAAATGCCTTTTAAACAATGTAACTGCACCCGCATCCACCACTTCCTCGAGAAGTTCATTCCACACACGAACCACTCTGTGTAAAAAAACCTGCTGCTCATGTCTTTTTTAAATCTTTCTCCTCTCACCTTAAAAATATGCCCCCTAGTCTTGAAATCTCCCACCCTAAGGGAAAAGGCACCTGCCATACTCCTCAATATTTTATAAACCTCTCTAAGGTCACGCCTCAACTTCCTACACTCCAGCGAGAAAAGTCCCAACCTATCCAGCCAATCCTATATCTCAAACACTCCAGTTCCAGCAACATCCTGGTAAATCTTTTCTCAACCCTCTCCAGCTTAACAATATTCTTCCTATAACAGGGTGACCAGAACTGGACATAGTATTACAGAAGTGGCCTCACCAACATCTGTACACCTCAACATGACATCTCAACTCCTAAACTCAAAAGTCTGAGCAAGAAGGCAAGCGTGCGAAATGCCTTCATAACCAGCTTGTCTACATGTAAACTTCAAAGAATTATGTACCTGAACCCCTAAGTCTCTCTGTTCTACAACACTAGATATGCCCTACTTTTAATTGTCCAAGTCCAGCCCTTGTTTGTTTTACCAAAATGCAATACTTTACATTTATCCAAATTAAATTCCATCCATCAGCTCAAAAGCATAACTGCACACGTGCTTGTATACACAACGGGAGGCGATGGCCTAGTAGTATTATCACTGGACTGTTAATCCAGAGATCCAGATAATGTTCTCGGGACCCGGGTTCGAATCCCGCCATGGCAGATGGTGGAATTTGAATTCAATAAAATACCTGGAATTAAGAATCTAATGATGACCATGAATCCATTGTCGATTGTCAGGAAAAACCTATCTGGTTCACTGATGTCCTTTAGGGAAGGAAACTGCCATCCTTACCTGGTCTGGCCTACATGTGACTCCAGATCTACAGCAATGTGGTTGACTCTTAACTGCTCTCTGGGCAATTAGGGACGAGCACTAGATGCTGCCTAGCCAGCGAAGCCCTCATCCCGTGAATGAATAAAGAAAAAAAAAACACGGATGGCAAAGCAGGATTTTGCATTCCCAAGCAAAACTGCTCATCTCCTGAGATCAGAAAAAAGTATGAATATAAATTGAGACTGGGATTCAAATTCACTCATCTTTGGGAGTCGACTGGTAATTCTGCACTTGTTTTACAATTACCAGAAAAGGCCACACAATTTTCTTTATTGATTTGGTCTTGAGCAGGACAAAACTAAAAATGTACGCAGCATACAGTCATTTCAGATGGTATTTATTACTTACCAAGTTTTTTTACTGGACGTTGATGTGGGGTATATCCTGGTTTCTCATGAAGGGTAGTGGATGTCTGAAAGCTCTCTAGCTTAGTATTAGAGGATATATTTATTTCTTTCTGAGGGGTTGCACTTGTACCATCTATCTTCAGAATTTCCTTTAACATCTGTGTTCCTTTCTATTAGCAAAATTAAAATATTTATTACATTGATGAGAATTAAAACTGAATTGATTCTACATGGTTTTTCACAAATTCAAGCTATGAAGAAAACATCCAAATTATTAATTCATACAAATAGAAGAATTCATCATGGGAGCAGAACATTATTTTGACACAACTAGACTAGAATGCCCAAGTAATTAATGTGGATTAACAATCCAAGAATATTTTAAACTAATAGATGGGTTAAAAAGAGATAACTTTCTGAGAATGCATTGAAGATTATATTCTATTGCCCACAATGGATTGAAAATACTTTGCATCTTTTATACAATAATCAACAATAAACTAGCTCCTTCAGTAATAAGTGCTATTGTTCAAGATACTTCAGTTTGAATAATCCCAAGGAAAATGCAAGAAATTGTGAGCAACAACTGTCTCAAACCTATACAAATCAAGCCAAAACATAACACACCCAATTCAGTTTTAGGTTCTGGGGCCTATATATGGATGAAAAGGATAATCCATTTCCAGCAGGTTTTTCCAACATGAAGGTGACTTGCAATATCAGCTTAGTCGCCATCATCCTACTGAACTACTACAGAGAGACAACTGGTGGAGGTTTAACTTGAGGGTGACCATATCTCCAGCAAGGGGAGATGTTAAGAAGATGGTGACTCCATGGTAACTTGTAATGTGTACATGTCTCAAAATGACATTTTAATAAAATTGCCCTAACATCTGGAGTGGAGCACCATGGTAGAAGTCTGTTGACTGACAGGGTCCGCACTGAGATTGCCTTTAATCTATTTCAATAAAAACACCATTACGATTTTTTTTACTGAAAGATCCTGCTTAGCACAGTTTTTGTGAAGTTGGAGCTTATATTGTTTCAAGGGTGGATACAAGACAGACATTACACTTGGGATTCAGGAAGAGTTTGCCAATTCATAGAATAAGAATCCCTAACAGTGTGGAATCAGGCCATTTGGCCCACTGCTCCACGCCAATCCTCTGAAGAGCATCCCATCCAAAACCACCCCCTCACCCTATCCCTGTAACCCTGCATTTCCCATGTCTAATCCCCTTCGCCTGCACATCCCTAAACACCATAGACAATTCAGCATGGTCAATCTACCTAACCTGCACATCTTTGGATTGTGGGAGGAAACCAGAGCACTCAGAAGAAATCCTAGACACAGGAAGGAGATGTAAACTCCACTCAGATATTTGCCAAAGGGTGGAATTGAACCCGAGTTCCTGGTGCTGTGAGGAAGCAGTGCTAACCATTCAGTCACCAGGCCACCCCATTCAATTGGATACTAAATTGGCTTGAAGGTAGAAGACTAGTGGGTGGTGGTGGAGGGTTGTTTTCCAGACTGGAGGCTCGTGACCAGTGGTGTGCCGCAGGGATCATTGCTGGGTCCACTGTTGTTTGTGATTTATGTAAACGATTTGGATGAGAATTTAGGAGGCTTGGCGAGTAAATTTGTGGATCACTCCAAAATTGATGGTATAGTAGACAGTGAAGGAGATTATCTAAGATTACAAAGGGATCTTGACCAATTGGGCCAATGGGCTGAGGAGTGGCAGATGGAGTTTAAATTGGATAAATGCAAGGTATTGCGCATTTTGGTAAAACAAACAAAGACAGGACTATACAATTAATGGTAGGGCCCTGGGTAGTTTTGTCCAATAGAGACATCTGGGGGTTCAGGGACATAACTCTTTGAAAGTTGCACAGGGTGGTTAAGAAGGTGTTTAGCATGCTTGCCTTCATTGCTCAGCCCATTGAGTATAGGAGTTGGGATGTCACATTGCAGTTGTACAGCATGTTTGTGAGGCCATTTTTGGAGTACTACGTACAGTTCTGATCGCCCTGCTATAGGAAGGATATTATTAAATTGGAAAAGGTTCAGAAAAGATTTACAAGGATTTTGCCAGGACTTGAAAGTTTGAGTTAAAAAGGATAGGCTAGATAGGCTGGGAAATTTTTCACTGGAGCATAGGAGGTTGAGTGGTGACTTTATACAGGTTTATAAAATCATGAAGGGCATAGATAAGGTGAATAGCAAAAGGTCTTTTCTCTAGGGTAGGGGTGTTCAAAACTAGAGGGTATAATTTTAAGGTGAGAGAAGAAAGATTTAAAAGGAGCCTGAGGGGCAACTTTTTCACACAGAGGGTGGCTCGTATGTGACGTGATCTGCCAGGGGAAATGGTGGATGCAGGTACAGTTACAACATTTAGAAGACATTTGGACAGGTACGTGAACGGGAACGATTTAGAGGGATATGAGACAAATGCAGGGAAATAGGACTACTTTAATTTGGGAAATTTGGTCAGCATGGACGAGTTGGACCGAAGGGTCTGCTTCTATGTTGTTTGGCTCTATGACTTCAAAGAATTCAGATAAATTTGAGAGATCTTTCCAAAAACACTGACATTAATATTTTCAATTAGTTCAGGAAAACAACTTCCTTACCAACTGCAGACACATTAAACAAGCTATAGATATATAAATTGATCTCTGCAAGTAATATGACATAGCTTATTCTTGGATTAGTCACCCAGTCGAAGACTTATTATAATTAGAAAAACCGAGCAACATATAAAAAGTTGTTTAAAATTTTTTTGATTTTAAGCAAGTTCAACATCTCTACAACACCACCTGCTTGCAAGATATTTTCAATTTGGCACTTTATTTCAGACTCTCCCTTCCATTATTTTGGTAGTACAGCCCACACAGCAATCCCTAATGCTTATATCTCAAAACAACTATTATGTATACAAGTACAAGAGATTCAGCTGCTGTAACATATTGGAACATACTACAAAATCCAAAACAAAACCTGTTACAAGTTATTCATTACCTGCTGATATTTTCTCAGTTCCATCAGATACTGTATAACACATTCTTATTTTGTTTTACTCACTGTCCCTCCAGACAACCAGCATGGACAAGACTTACTAAAAGATATCTTTCTGTGCCATAACCTATGATTTTATTATTCTATTTTCAATTACTTCAAAAAAAAACTGATAGTGATGGTTTGGGTGGAAACAGTTTGTCCATTTTGTTGACCTTTCCAAAACTCATTTTATTTTTACAAAGGAGATCCTATTTTCCTCCAACACCCTAGTAACTAAGGTTCCATTTTGTGAAAACATTAAGGATCATGATCTAAGCTAACATAATGTGGAGGTGCCGGTGTTGGACTGGGGTGGACAAGGTCAGAAATCACACGACACCAGGTTACAGTCCAACAGGTTTATTTGAAAACAGAAACTTTCCGGGCCTCCCTCCTCCTACAGGTGTTAATGAGAGAGGTAGTATCAGACACAGAATTTACAGGATCAAAGGATCACACCATTGATGAGGACGTACTAAACAAACCTAAGATGCTGTTAAATCTTTCATCAGTTAGAAGGTTTTAATTGATTAATATGGATATGTAAATCCCCAAATTCCTTTCAAGTCACGGTCCTGAGACAACTAAAGGTTTTATCAGTGTAAAGGTGACATTTTAGGTCAGACAATGTATGTTAGGTGTGAGGCCTTGTTTAGAATCTATTTATGTTTTAGTTTGGAGTCAGACTGGTTTTATTTCTAAAGTAGGAATTTATAAAGCACCATATTAAGACTGTCTATAAATTGTGCACTTTTTGAACAAACTAAAATGCATCTGCAAATATAAATTACATGTACATATTAATCAATTAAAACCTTTTAACTGATTTAAGATTTAGCAGCATCTTAGGTTTATTTAGCACATCCGCATCAATGGTGTGAATCTTTAATGTTTTACTTATAAATTCTGTGTCTGATACTATCCCTCTCACTAACACCTGAAGGAGGACTGAGGCACTTAAAGCTTGTGCTTTCAAATAAACCTGTTGGACTATAACCTGGTATCGTGTGATTTCTGACTTAAGCTAACATAGACATAGAAACATAGAATACAGCAGCAGGAACAGGCCGTTTGGCCCTTCAAACCTATGATGTCCATCATATTCTTATGGCTGATCATGCAATTCACTCCACACAATTGCCACTTTCTCCCCCATACCCTTTGATCTATTTAGTCCTAAGAACTATACCTAACTCCTGCTTGAAAACATTCAATGCTTTGGCCTTAACCATTTTCTCTGGCAGAGAATTCCACAGGCTCCCGACGCTATGGGTGAAGAAATTTCTCATCTCAGTCCTAAGTGGCCTACCCCATATCCTTTGACTGTGACCCCTGATTCTGGACTCCCTGGTCATCAGGAACATCCATCCTGTGTTTATCTTTTTAGTCATAGACTGGGCAATCTTTCCTTGTAAACCAAGCTTCTTGAAGTTCAGAAACATCTTTTTGGTATCTTTTGACTCACTTCAATAATAATACATCTTTTCCATAATAAAAAGAAACAAAAGTACTCCAGAAACAGCTTCATGAAGACCATAAGTTCAACAACACAGACCTATAACTAATCTCCTCAGCTAATAATCTAACAGTCTATTTGCTCTCTTCTTTCACACAATGAGCTAACAGTACATCCAACAAAATCCCCAAGACTCTAAGTGATTACCTCAAGTACCTTGCTATTTATTATTAAATCCTAATGTTCACTTCTTCTAATTAATTCTATAACTTCACACTTAACACTCTTCAATTCCATCTGGTGATTAATCAAGCTTGGTCAGAGACATTTGGAATTTGGTCAACAATTTGGATTACCCAACATTTTGTCATGAAAACAATCTGTTTGCTTGTAAAGACATAGCATCCTGATGCTTTTCATTCAAGTCATTTCTCATTTGAGCAGTGGAATTTATAGAAGGCAATATGCTTTGGCTAGTTAAATGACAAGACGAGTCCTGGAGGCTAGTCCTAAAGATGGGCTGTGGGCTGGAGCTTGGCACCAGAGGCAAATCCGCGTCTGGCCAGCCCGGGAGACAAGTCCTTGTGGCAAGTCCCGGAGGCCAGTTGTGAGGTGGAGCCTGGTGTGGGAAGCGAGTCTGAGCAAAGGCTGGCCTGGGAAACAAGTCCTAGAGACGGGTCCCAGGCCGGAGGCCAGCACACAGAGGCAGTGGGCCTCGAGTTCTGAAGCCCAGCAGGCAAGGACTAAGTGAAATGGACTGTAATTTGAGTACTTTTGTTCTTATTCTGGACTTTGAGTACTTTTTAAAAACCTTGTATTCCTATGCTGGACCTTTTTTTAAACTCTTTCAATTCTGCAACAAACGCATAAGTATCTGTACCTAGGTATCCTGTACCTAAGATGGCGTCAAAGAAGCGACATTACAAACTTTTAACTGCACTCATTTGGGTGCACGTGACAATAAACCCAATTCTAAAATTCTGAACCAAGCATGCACTCAAAAATCACCTACACATTGCAAACAAACAACTGCTCTCCACGTAAAGTTTAGGCTTCTAGCATTGATAGACTTTTGACAACAAATATAATAAACAAACAAACCTGCACAGGCCTATATAATCAGTTTTTACAACCAGTATACTTATCATCTTAAAAGTCCTATTCTAGTCTAAGTATACAGTATAATGCAGGAGCCAAAATAGATAAAATTGCACACTTTGATTACTTTTTTTGAAAAAAATCTTTTGATCGTTAAGGTATTTAGTTGGGGAAAGAATTCCTGTTAAGCCAGTGCTATTTTTAAATGCTAAAATATCCTATGCAAGTGAGAGATTGCTTATAGACTGATGCTGGAACTGTGATGGATAAATCATATGCAGGTTGCACCACAGAAAATGAGCAGTATGTTGCATTTAGCAGGAGCCTAGCATAGTCCAGATGCACAATAATCTTAATTTAAACAAAACTGGCAGAAAATCAATACTGCATTCCTTTGACTGGATGCCAGAAATGTACAACTGACAATTAACTTCTCAGCAAATGGGTAAGTAGTTATAATTGCTGAGAAATGCCTTTGCCTTTTACATGGGCAGTGCAGTGGCTCAGTGGTTAGCACTGCTGCCTCACAATGCCAGGGATATGGGTTCGACTGCACCCCCTGGGCAGCTGTCTCTGTAGAGTTTGCACATTCTCCCCGTGTCTGCATGGCTTTCGTATGGATGCCCTGGTTCCTCCCACAGTCCAAAGATGTCCAGGTTAGGTGGACTGGCCATGCTAAATTGACATGTAGTGTCCAGGGATGCACAGGCTAGGTGGATTAGCTGGTAAATGCAGGGTTACGGGGATAGGGTGGAGGGGGTCGCAGGGTAGTTCGAGGGTCAGTGTGGACTCATTGGGCTGAATGATCTCTTTCCACACTGTAGGGATCCTACAATTCTCTCTCTTCTGGTGATTTCTTAAGAAATAGCCCAAAAGAGCATTCCTGTTAGCAACTAATCATCATCTATTTTCCACACCACAGATGTCCCCAATTTACAAACATCTGATCTGCAAAGGTTTGTGCCTACAAAGGCAATTCCATATAGGTGAGTAATTTTAAATAAAAACGTTTCTTGTACTTACAAGCAGCTGCTTTACATTGTCCTGCATTGTGTTCCAACCTGCAGGGGTCGGTTTAGCTCACTACAGTGGCTGAGAGTATCATGAAGGGATCTCCTTCTCAACCTCTCCCCTCGCCTGAGATACGGTGGCCCTCAGGTTAAATCACCACCAGTTGAATCTGACTAATGAGAAAGCAGCCTATTGTCTGGTAGGACTATGGTGACTGGATTTGTGTCGAGCCGAGTACAAATCGACTTGTGATCAGACTCCAGAATGGAACCCATTCATTACCTGACGACTGCCTGTACTTGATGGGAGACCTGCTAGTTGTCACAATGTTTGGGCTAATAACTATAATTTACCCAAAACTTTCAGAAATTAATACCATAAGGGGAAGCAACGGTCTAATGGTCCTGTCGCTAGACTACAAATCCAGAGACACAGGTAATGCTCCGTGGACCTCGGTTTGAATCCTGCCAGGGCAGATGGTCGAATTTTAACTCAATAAAAAAATTTGGAATTAAGAGTCTAATAATGACCATTGTTGAGTGGTTCACTAATGTCCTTCAGGGAAGGAAATCTGCCATCCTTACCTCGTCTGGCCTACATGTGACTATAAACCCACAGCAAAAGTGGTTGACTCTTAACATCCCTCTGGGCAATTAGGGATGGGCAATAAATGCTGGGCTAGCCAGCAAGCTGTGAGTGAACAAAAGAAAAATCTGATATTTGCACTAACATAGCAGTTGTCACAGCCCTCTTCCTAAAATGTTTTGAAGTGCAAAATAAAAGCAGCCAATGTCCGAACTGAAAAGATGACAATGCCTACCATGGCAAAAGATTGTGGGGATAGAGGTTCTCCAGTGATTCTCTCACTTTCTGTGGACTGTGAGACTTGTACGTCTTTTCCTCCTTGTTGACCAGGGCTTTTTAAAGAAACTAATGGTTCTTCAAATTCAGATGGTACCTGTTAATATATTACATAACATTCAATGCAATTTTGAGTAAAACTGTAGATTTATAAAGAATGGCTTGAATTTTTAAGAAATTATTGGATCAACATGAAGCAAAAAAAGCTTAAAATAAGTTTTAAAATTATAATACACTAAGAAAAATAGGAAGTTGGAAAGCATACAGCATAGTTTGCCATGTATAAATGGACAATACCAGCAAAATAATTTATTTTTGTTGCAAACAGTACATTTTAATAATCGAACTGTGAACAGGAGTGCTATATCAGAAAAACAACCAGCACTATTATTTAAAAAGCTTCACTGTGACACCTCAGTTTATCAAACTGTTCAAAAATAAAAATGAAGTACACCTTGGAAGAGAAAAACTTTTGATGTTAACTTTTAACAAGTGGCTTTATAACTAAACCAAAATGAGAAAACATATATAAGTAACTACTGGCAAAGTACACAGACATAGGCAAGTTAAGATGATCAAGAAAACCAAAGTTCAAACACTAGTGCAAGTTTCCCTATATTCTGTCTGGAAAATTGTGGGGGAAGGGTTGGGTCAAAGAAAAATAGACAGCTCTATTAGCCAACCAAAAGAACTACCCAGTTGATTAGAAAAATAGGCTAAATTTTCAAAAAATTAAGTAATAGATGTAAGGCCCTCCTGTGGCACAGTGGTACTGTCCCTACACCTGGACCAGGAAGTCTAGGTTCAAGTCCCACCTCCTCAACAGATCTGTGCTAACATCTCCGAACAGGCTGATTAGGAAAACAGGTTAAGGAACAGAAGTCCATTCACTTCCTTAGGCATATTCTACCATTAAATTTGATCATAACTGATCATCATTTCCATTCTAGTCACTCATTTTGGTTTCATCAATAGTATCACTCAAGAAAAATTTATCAACTTCTGTACATTTAGAATTGATCTAACCTCAACTGTGGCATTTTCTTTTGGGTAGGGGAAGGGGATAGCAGGGGCAAGAATAGGAGAGGAAGACTTTATGATTTCATGTATCAATTATATGGAAAATCATATTCTTACAACACTGCCAAACAACTTAGTTCTACTTTTGATATAATTATGCCTGTCCTCATCCAATAGTCCCTCACCAGAAGGAATGGGTTCTCTTTATGCAGCCTGTGCTTAGAATCACACTAGTTCAATCATTCCATGCTGTATAACAATTCCTTCCAAAGATCACAGCTGTCTTACATTCTTCGTGCACAATGCCATAGATCAACTATAAATGCCAGAGAGATAAATAAACAACTGATTCTCTTTCGTGCTGCCCTCCCGACTACATTTTAGTTTACCACACTTAATGTTCAGTGCCTTCTTTCAATGCAGACAGCAAGTGGCTGCTTACCTTAGTGGAAAAATTATTCCTTTCTAATGATGCAGACTGTTGACAACTTACCACTGCAGATTTCTGTTCTTTTGAGTCTTCATTCCGTCTTAGAATCTTCATACTTGGTTTACTATTGCTAGAACATGCCTGCAATGTTTCACAACAAGTTTGCACTTGTAAACTCAAATACAGCTTGCCTAAATTAACAATCCTATTAAAAGGTCAAGATTTATGCCTTCCTTGCTTTAGAAAAACTAAATGAGCAAAGGTCCATCAGCCTTTTGCTAATTTACAGGAAAAGTGAGCACAAAGACTGTTTGATGCAAAGTACAGTGCCATCTCTTCAGATTTTGGTCTTGTAAACGCTGAAATGTACACATGCTAAATCTAGACTTCAGAATATCACATCTCAAAGTTAAAATTCTAATACTTGAATATTACCTGTTTATTTTGCAATTTGGAAACAGATGGTTGTGATTGGCCAGAGTTTTCAGGTCCACGACTTCTGGCCTTGAAACTTTCAGAGTTATCCTCTTTTGCTAGAACAAACAAGATAAAGAGTTTTAATTTTGAGAAATGCAAAATAAATTAAAATTTCAAGTATAGAACTGTGTCAGAATTAAAAGAAAATACAAATTAACCATATTCAATAAGAATAAAGCCAAGTTAAACAGATGAGGCAGTAGAATGACTTGTAAAGTGCTTAACAAAGGAAAAAAAACGGGAATTTGTTAATGTGTTAAATAATCTGAAGAAGGGTCACTGAACCCAAAACATTAACGCTGCTTTCTCTCCACAGACGCTACCAGACCTGCTGAGTTTCTTCAGCAATTTCCAGTTTTGTTTCAGATTTCCAGCATCCTTGCTTTATGGTAGGAATTTGTGTTTGCAAATACCAAATTTGTTCAATAGGCTCTTTAGAGATGATTTACCTTCTACTACAGGTCACAGCATTTAATCTGCTTAGAGTATTTCATATGCTGGCTTACCTGGCTGCAATTCATATAAAGAAGTGGACTGCAGGAGGCTACCACATGTTCTGCTTGCTGGGCATGGTGATATAGTGACTGTAATGAGGTCAGCCAGGTGGACCTCACAGAATATGAGTTCCTTGTTTGGGCCTGTTAACCCAGTCCAATCAGGGAGACATGGCTGACGGATAAGAACAGGAGTGTCAGAGTTCTGTTCACTCAGAGCTGGCTCTGAAAGAGCTGGATCAGTGTCAAGGACAGTTCACATGTAAATAAAGGGTGACTTGGTAACAGGATACCATCTTCTGTGGAGTTATTTCAGATGACACATTCTTGAGAATGCAAGAAAGTAACAAAGACAGAAATGGAAACTGACAAAGTTCACGAAGTGAAATTGGTTCCTGCAGACCTGAAGTTACTGTTTATACTTGTCGTATTTAAAACCTTTATTACAAGCGGTCTTTTAAGAATAACTTTAGATGTCACCTGAAAGAATTGCAGGTCACCTCAGATTGGTCTAAACAAGCTCCCCACCATCCAAGGCCCTGGCACTAGGGGAGTCCCAGTCAATATCCGGGAAGTAAAAATCATCCACCACAACAACACTGTTGTTTTTACATTTTTCCATAATGTGTCCACATATCCGTTCCTCTATCACCTGCTGCCTGTTGGGAGGTCTGTAGTACAATCCTATCAAAATGTTGAGCTGCCAGTCTTGACACTCTTAACCAAGTCTCTGTAACAGCTACAATGCCATTGTTATATGTATTAATCCAAGCTCTAAGTTCATCTATTAGAAGTTTATCTATTTCTCGCAATGAAACAAATACACTTCAGACTACCAGTCTTGCCACGTTCAGTAACCTCATCCTTTGTCTCTGACCCCTCCTTGGTCATTTTACTTACTGACCTACTGTTCTGGTTCCTGCCCACCTGCCACACTAGTTTAAACCTTGCTGAGTGGCACTAGTAAACCTCCCTCTTAGGATACTGGTGCCCCTCCAGTTTAGGTGCAACACATCCTTCTTCTACAGGTCCCTCCTGCCCTAGAGGAGATCTCAATGATCCACATACCCTCTTACATTAGCTTTTAAACCATATATTTAACCACACTATCTTCCTATCCCTAGTCTCACTAGTCACACGACGTCTTAATAAGAAGTTTCCTCTCATCAGGGTGAGAGCATCCTATTTTCTTTGTAATGCATGTATGAATTATTAATATATAACATGCTTGCTCAAATTTCAAGCATTACTTCTTAGAAAGTTTAACCAACAACTAGCTTTGAAAAAAGTACTGATTCAGAATTCTTGATACATTAAACTATCGTGCCCATATCAATTTATTTATTAATTACAAGTATTTTAATGAAACGTCTAACGTCCATTACTTTGTCATTCAAAATATAATATTTAAATAATCAAAACGTTGAAGAATTTGAAATTGTACTTGTGAACTTCACCTTATTCAAGATTTGCCTTAAAATGTCTCAGATTCAGTGTTTAATCATACGAACAGACAAGTTCAGAAAAATAGGCCATTCAGCCCCTTAAGCCAGCTCTGCCAGTTCATGAGATCATAGGTGATCTGATTGCTGCTTCAAATCCATATTCCTATACAAAAACCGAAAGAACTGCGGATGCTGTAAATCAGGAACAAAAACAGAAGTTGCTGGAAAAGCTCAGCAGGTTTGGCAGCATCTGTGAAGAAAAAAATCAGAGTTAACGTTTCGGGCCGGGTGACCCTTCCTTAGAACTGGATGTCCCTGAGGAAGGGTCACCAGACCCAAAATGTTCACTCTGATTTTTTTCTTCACAGATGCTGCCAAACCTGCTGAGCTTTTCCAGCAACTTCTGTTTTTGTTCCATGTTCCTACATACCCCTGACAGGCTTAACTAACGAAGGAGTCAATCTGTGCCTGAGAGGTATTCAGTGACCCCAGAAAAGAGCTCCTCTGATGCAGACTCTTCAATAGCAAAGATTTCTCCTCATCTCTGTCTTAATTGCGAGAGATTGCATTTGAAATTACATCTCCTAGTTCTAGACTCTCTGACAAGTGAAACATCCTTTCAGCATTTGTTCAGCTCCTTCAGGAACTTGCATGTTTCAATTAGATCACCCCTCAGCCCTCCAAACTCCGAGGGATTCAGACCCAATCTGTTCAACCTTTCTGTACAGAAAACGCCTTCATCTCAGCAATGAGTCAAATGAACCTTTTCTGAATGGCTTCTAATGCAATTCTGCCCTTGCTTAGATAAGAAAGCCAAAATTATACTCAGTACTCTAGATGTGCTCTCACCAACGTCCTCTGTAACTTAGAAAAATATCTGTTCTTTTATTTTTAACAATCAAAGGCCATAATGAATTACTAGAATTATAATGTTCATTCACTGACCTGAAACATTGTTTCTCTCATGCACAAAAAACAGAAAATTGCTGGGAAAGCTCAGCAGGTCTGGCAGCATCTGTGGAGAGAAATCGGAGTTAACGTTTCGGTCCAGTGACCCTTTCTCAGAATTAATTCCCGAAACGTTAACTCTGATTTCTCTCCACAGTTGCTGCTAGACCTGCTGAACTTTTCCAACAATTTCTGTTTTTGTTTCTGATTTACAGCATCTGCAGTTCTTTTAGTTTTACACTGTTTCTCTTCAGTGTTGCCGCTGGCCTGCTGAATGTTTTCAGCAGTTTTTGTTTTTATAACAACTACTGGATGTTTTGATACCAGGGAATGATGTGCAATTTAGAAAGAAACCAGGTATATATAATGAAAGACCAAATTGTTTACGATAAATGAATCTGGTCAAAATTTGCATGACAAAACATGGATGGATAATTTCAAATCCTAAACCATCGGTGAAATGTGAGTCTAAACCCTACATTTATTTTCATTTCCCTCCACAGATTTTACAGTATAATGCGCCCACAATCATTTTCCTCACTAAATGTGGTCATTAAAACAGGGCCAGAACAAACCATACTGGGAACTTCCCCTGACAGGTTAGTATTTGTAACTAACATGAAGGTAGTAATTCTAGCCATTATTAGTGCAGAGTTAGAAATTTCAAATTGTATTATTATTTGAAAGCAGACCCTTTACTATCTGGTTTAGTTGATAATCTCAAAATTAAAAAAGCACGCGTCAAAATGTTTTAATTCCTCACAGCAAAATAACAAGATTTATTAGAATAAACAACATTATCAACACCAACTTAGATAATTTCCAAATTAGATCCAAGTTGCCAACAGTTTCTAACAACATTAAATCACCTAAAATTCAACTGGCTTCATTTCATCTAATTATTTTTGCCATAGCCACATTGTTTCATTGAGAGCTGGATATAAATTTGAAAGTGATGCATTCAGCAGTCTAGGAGATAGGGCTGGAAAATGGAACTAGCTGGGTAGCTCGTTTGGGAGCCAGTACTGACATGACGGGTTGAATGGCCTCCTCCTGTACTGTAAATTCTATAATTCTATAAGCCCACTTGCAATGGTTACCTTTCCTGGCACATGCCTGCTGCTCTGATGGTCCCCATTTCTGTTTTTGCTGGCCATCGATTTTGAATGGTTGCATTTTATTTTCTGTCGGGTTGGAATTTTTGGACTGAAACCCTGAAAATGATGCTGGCTCAGTCACAGCCTGAAAGGGCAGAAAGAAGAGTAAAAATAAGCATATACACTGAATCCAAAATAACGTATTGCGTAATTTAATGTACATTGTATCATGATGCAGCAATGCCTCCCTGTGTAAGGGACCTTTTGGCAGCCAGTGTAAAAATGGTTGGGACGTTTTAAAAATAGTTAAAACTTTGGTAATCTGATACAATGAAGTTTAACATTTCGCTTTCAACAAATTTCAGGATTCTGTGAACTCCGTAGAAGATATTTTACCCAGCACATCTGAAATATTAACATGTTGTAGCCTTCATTAAGAAAGAGCACACCCTTTAAGAAATATCTTGTGGTTGGTTGGCTCGCCGAGCTGGATCATTGTTTTTCCGCAGATGTTTCATTACCATGCTGGGTAACATCATCAGAGAAGCCTCCGATGAAGTGCCGTTGTGTTTTCCCACCTGTTGTTTAGACTCTTTAAGCTTTAGAGCACGGTAACAAAACATCTGTGAAACAACGAACCAGCTCGGTGAGCCAACCAACCACAACATCCACAACCCGAGCTACAAATCTACTTGGAAATAGTTGATTCTACTGGAAACAAAAGCACACACGAGCGTTTCAGCAGTAGACGGGCTTAAATAGGGAAAGAAGTCGAACAATGTTACAGAGGGAAATCTATACAGTATTAATTATTGTGCAAATATGAGATTGGAAGCTCATCTCAGGTTAAGATATGACACCAGATTGACTTCAAATCAGACTGTTACCCAGGAGAAGGATGCAGCCACAAGGGACGGAACGAAGTTTGGAATGGGTACTGAAAACAGTGGCTAGAGGCTTCCCAATATTTAACTGGGGGAAATGTGCTCTAACATACAAAATATACTGGAAGTGATTTGTAACTTGGATTAGTTACTTTAACACTGTTCTAATCTTCTTCTGAAGCATACCGAATGACTGTTGTTGAATTATGTCAAATATTACTGATTTGGACTTGACTTGAGAGAACCCCGTACTTACTTTTTCTTGCCAAACTGAAGAGTGTTTCGTGGGTAAATCTGTAGAGCGGGAATTGGTTTGTATGGAGTGGGAAGAAGTTCCAAGATTGTTATGTAAGGACTGCCATACTGTGGAGAATTCGTCATCTGACTTTAACTGGCCCTACAGCAAGAAAACATAGTTCAGTTCAATTAGTAAATCAATTGCCATAAGAAAAGGAACCAGTATTAATTTTGGAATTCCACCCTACATTTAACAGTATAAAATATTGTTGTAATAAGAATGTTGAATTAGCTGGTAATGTTCTATGAACAAAAAGAGTCAAAATAACTATAACATTAACTGACTATCTTAAAGAAAAGTTATGCTGCTTTCTAATATACCACAGTGACATTTTCATTTCTCATACCCATCAGCGACTTTCAATGAAATCACCAGTAAATGCCAAATTAATGGCTATTTGCCACCAGGAGCACAACTAGCACGGAAACAAACCTCAATTCACTTAGAGATGTGTAACAACCAGAGGAACAAGAACTGTTAATTCAGCAAATTGAAATATATGAATGCATCAGTGAATTAGATTGGAGGGTTTCATGCGATTACAAAAATATTCTGTTCTCCCAATCTGGGGCAAATGCAGAACATTTCTGATTCATGACATGGACAATCAGGAGTGATAGGGCTAGAGAAGCATTAGGAGTGCAAAATTCAATTTTAAAAAATCCATTAACCACCAAATAACACTTTCAAATAATTAACACCTTCCCTACCGGCTTAGCAGATCCTCCTTGACGCTGGTTTTCATCATTTTGATGAAAGTTAGATGGTCCATTTGCTCTTTGATGGTTGACGTGATTCTTCTGATTTTCTGCCCTGAGAAATGGTTGTCTTCCATTCAGCTGCTAAATAATAATATTCACAAGTGTACAGCACCCCTTAAAATTCTGAAAAAACAACCTTGGTCCAAATTTGGACTATGTAGTTCTACACCAATATTTCATACCAATTCAACATTATATGTTTAAGATTCATTGCAGTGACTTCCAGAACTGGGAACTGTCAATGAAAATCTTGGAGCTCATAGCAACAGAGGTCTATGTCACCTTTGTAAACCACCTTCCTGACACAAAAACTAAAGAGCATATTCATGGTGGTATAATAAGGTTGCCAATTCCAAAACATATTCAGACCCACTTCACTCTTTATTTTGACAGCATAACTAATTCAGATGAGGGTCACCTGACAGTTGTCAAGATTATGGAAGTGTTTGTGAGGGTGGTCAGACAAAATGTTTCCAATTATGGGAAGACTAAAACTACAGGTCATAGATACAAGTCAGTATTAAATAAGGAATTCGGGACAAATGTCCTCACCTAGAATGCAGTTGGAATGTGGAACTTGGTACCACAGGGAATTGAGGCAAATGGATAAACATGGGGGAGAAGAGAACAAAAGGTTATGCTGACAGACGAAGGTGCAGATTGTGTACACTAGCATTTATCTCAATGTAAACTATCAGTGTCAGGATCAATGCAGACTTCTACTGAACTGTGGCAAAAGCATGTCAATGTAGCCACTGAAGTAACACTCCTTTCAGCATGGTCAGGTAAACCCATTTGCAACTCCAGCAACAGTATGTCATGAAATCTGGGGGTTTCAGTTAATTAACAAATGGCTGTAAACACTCAATAAGGAGAAAGGGCATTTGTTCAAAGGATGGGTGAGTTAAATGTATTGCATGCAGATTATTAATCAAAATTTTCATTAATCCTTGTAGTGAACTATTTATCTACACTTATAAATTCACCCTTTCCCTGCATGAAAATGGCTGGGCTATAAGTGTTTCCTGCATTTCAGATTTGGTTTTATTTATTGATTTGCAGTGAAAAGTGTTGTCTTACGCGCTTTACAGGCAGATCATATTTCCAGCATTTGCAGTATTTTTTGGTTCCTGGTCTGTCAATTCATTAACATCTACTAAGAAAGCAAAATACTGCATATGCTGGAGATCGAGATTAAAAAAAAACAGAAGTTCTTAAGAAAAGTTATTCAACTTGAAACATTAACTCTGTTTCTCTTCCCACAGATGCTGGAGAGCTTTACCAGCAGTTTGTTTTTATTTTATTAATATTCTTGTTTCTTCACCTGTGTTGGTACAAACAGGGAGCGTGGGGAGTGGTTCAGGCCTCCTGTAGACACTTTCTGAGCACCAGACTGTGATGAAGGATACATAGCATGTTGAGGTATTGGTGCTGGTTGCGGTTTTAACAATGGTGCTGCTTTCTGGCCTCCAAATTCCAGACGATTCCCATAACTGAGATTGATTAAGGCACACTTTGGGAGTCTATAACCTCTGCTAGGAGAGCATCTAAAAACAAATTTAGTACGTCAGTGGTTTCAAATCTGAACTAACCTAATTCTTATTTTGAGTCATCCATTCAATTTCTTAAAATGCTAATAACCTTTGGCAATAAATGCAGTGATGTTAGCACCTCCCACATTTTATTAATAAAATCAGAACAAAACAAACCTACTCCATGCTGAATTATCTTTATATTCAACAAAAAGGAAAAGTCAATTTTCACTTACACAATCCATTAAAGAAATCAATTTCATAGTAAAAACTACATATAAAACCTTAAATGTACTACTAATCAATTTGTACAATGAAAATACTAATTAAAAATATCTCCTCAAAAAATCAATGGTGTTAGTATATACAAACCTTATGGTGAGTCCACTTGGAAATTCTTCATCGAATAATACTTCATAAGATTCATCAGATTCTCTCTCAGCTACACAACAAAGCAGACAAGTTCAAAATATTTATGAAAAGAATAGCAGCCTACCTCAAAGGAATGCATTAAGAACCTGGCAAAAAATGTCTACATTTTAGTTATTCCATAAATGAGGGCATATAGTTTTAGTCTCAAATAAGGACTGTTTTGAATATAACTTATTTGAGACAATTCTAACAGAACTTTATAAATTCTTGACCACTGTAAAGCACAAAAATCATGGTCGGAGTAGCAGGTGGAGGATGTGGGAAACAGGTACTTGGACAACAAAAACAGAAAGTGCTGGAAGAACTCTGCAGGTCTGCAACTATCTACGGAGAGAGAAACAGAATTAACATTAATAACCTCTTTGGAACACCTCTGAGCATGTGTCCACAGATACTGCCAGATCTGATGAGTTTCTCCAGCATTTTCTGTCTTTACTTGAAATTTCCAGCAGCCACAGTATTTCGCTTTTATTCAAGGTACTTTGATAAGATTGCCTGATCCTAACTTAAAATTACAGCAGTCCCATTATTTGTTTATTGTTAAATTTTTTTAAAGAGCCAATTCAATCAATGTACTGCACAAAATGGTTGACAGAAGAGACAGCAATTTCCCAAAATTTAAGGCATTTTAAGTGATTACTGCATATGTTGTTATTCTGAATCAAGGGACACAGGAAAGAGGGTTGAGAATTCCAGAAGGTGGTACTGTAAAAAATAAATTTGTGTACGATGCTGTAAAGAAACATTTGCCACAATATAATCATATAAATGTTTGATCATTGTATAAAAGCTAGAAGTGTAATGCTGCTAGGATCAGGTGTGAATAAAGGATGGAAACAACAGCTTGAGGCAAGAAATAAAATAGGGTGCGCAAGAGAAGGGGTCTAGGAAGGAATAAAATGTGTAAACTTATGAGATACCACATTTGGAAAGCTTCAGGACATGTCTGAATGAATTTTCACTAATAACAAAATAAGCATTACACACTAATTGGGAATGATCTCTTATGGCCATAGACAGAGAAAAAAAATGTTTGGAAAAGGACATAATGGAAGTAGCAAGGAACAGGAAAGAAAACTAAATTGCAAAAGTTAAAAAGAAAGAAAAATTAATCATTGAGAATTTCAGGGAGAATTCAAATTAACAAGGAGGGAATGACCTAGTGGTATTATCGCTAGACTATTCAGAATCCCAGGTAATGTTCAGGAAATCCACGTACAACAAGGAAATGGAATTTTAACTGAATAAAAATATTAAAGGTCTAATGATAACCACGCTGACTGTTGTGAAAACCCATCTGGATCACTAATATGCTTGAGGGAAGGAATCTGCTAGCCTTACCATATCTGGCCCACATGGGATTCCTGAGCCATATTTATACAGTTGACTCTTAACTGCCCACTGAAATGGTTTAGCAAGCCACTCCATTGTAACCACTGCTAGAAAGTCTCTAAAAAGAAACAAAACTGGCTGGACCACCTGGCATCGACTGACGCACCAGAAACGTCGATGGTAAACACAACCCTGTTGATCTTGTAAAGTCCTCCTTCACCATCTCTGAGTATGCCCTATCCCACTGGCAGAACAGACCAGAGGCGGCGGCACAGTGGTATACAGTCAGGATGGAGTTGTGATGGGAGTCTCAACATTGTGTTGTTCAGAGTCAAAATCTCGCTGCACTTGATTAAACCTGGGCAAGGAAACTTCCTGATTATCAATTACTGCCCTCCCTCAGCTGACCAATCATTGCTCCTGAATGTTGAGCAACACCTGGCAGAAGCACTGAGGGTGCCAAGCGTGCAAAATGTACTCTGGGTGGGAGATTTCAATATCCGCCACCAAGAGTCGCTCAGTACTACTGATTGAACCAATCGAGTCCTAATTGACACTGCTTCTAGACTGGGTCTGCAGCCGATGGTGAGGGAGCCAACAAGAGGGAAAAACCTACTTGACCGTTTCCTTACCAATCTGCCAGCTACATCTGTCCATGACAGTATCAGTAGGAATGACCACTGCACAGTCCTTGCCGAGAGGAAGTCGGAGTCATGGATGTGGAGAAGATGCTTCCACCTGTAGCAGAAACTAGGACCAAAGGGCACAGCTTCAGAGTAAAGGAACAGCCCTTTAGAGCTTAAATGAGGAGACATTTCTACAGCCAGAGGGTGATGAATCTGCAGGACTCATGGCGTCCACAGCCTTCTAAGGCAAACTCATTCAGCTTATTTAAGACAGAGTTAAATAGGTTCTTGATTCGCAAAGGGGATCGAGGCTTACAGGAAGCAGGCAGGAGATTGGGATTGAGGTAGATATCAGCCTGATTGAATAGCACAGCAGACTTAATGGGTCAAATGCCCTAATTCTGCTCCTAAATTTTATATCCTGCCCTCAAATTGAGAATACCCTCCATGTTGCATGGTACTATCACTGCGCTGAATTGGACAGACTTTGAATAAGTTTAGCTTATGATTATCTACAAGGTGCTTTGGGCTATCCACAGCAGCTGAATCATACTCCAATCCAATCTGCAACCTCATAGCCTGGCATATCCCCGATCTACTGGTACGATCAAGCCAGGGGAATCAACCCTAGTTCAGCGAAGACTGCCAGAGGGCATGCCAGCAGCAGCACCAGGCATACCTAAAAATGAGCTGTCAACCTGGTGAAGCTGCAAAACAGGACTATTTGTGTGTCAAACAGCTTAAGCACCAATTGACAGAGCTAAATCATTCTATAATCAATGGATAAGATCTAAGCTCTGCAGTCCTGCCGCATCCAGTCTCGAATGGCAGTGGAAAATTAAACATCTCATTGGAGGATGAACCTCCACAAATATCCCTATCCTCAATGATACAATAGTACTGAAGATGAGTGCTCCAGAACTTGCCACAACACTAAATAAAAACCAAAAGAACTGCAGATGCTGTAAATCAGGAACAAAAACAAAGTTGCTGGAAAAGCTCAGCAGGTCTGGCAGCATCTGTGAAGGAGAAAACAGAGTTAACGTTTCGGGTCCGGTGACCCTTCCTCAGAACTGATGGTGGCTGGGAAAACGTCAGTTTATATGCAGAAAATAGGGCGGTGGGTGGGGTAGGGAGTAAACGGTAGGATAGGGCCCAAAGAGAGAGAAAGATAGTTGGACAGACAAAGGAGTTGCTAACGATCAGTCCCATTAATCCCGTTAATCCCATTAACAACTACTCACCCTCCCAGTCTGATCGTTAGCAACTCCTTTGTCTGTCCAACTATCTTTCTCTCTCTTTGGGTTCTTTCCTACCGTTTACTCCCTACCCCACCCACCGCCCTATTTTCTGCATATAAACTGACGTTTTCCCAGCCACCATCAGTTCTGAGGAAGGGTCACCGGACCCGAAACGTTAACTCTGTTTTCTCCTTCACAGATGCTGCCAGACCTGCTGAACTTTTCCAGCAATTTTGTTTTTGTTGCCACAACATTAGCCAGGCTGCTCTGGAACGGGTTACAACACTGTCATTTACCCGACAATCTGGAAAATTGCCCAGGTACATCCTGTACACAATAAGCAGGACAACTCCAACCCAGCCAATTACCGCCCCATCAGTCTACTCTTGATCAGTAAAGTGATGCAAGATGTCATATCAACAGTGCTATCACACTGCAGCTGCTCAGCAATAACCAGCTAACTAATGCTTTGGTTTCTGCCAGCCTCACTCACCCCTTAATTTAATTATGGCGTTGGTTGAGATATGGTCAAGAGCTGAAATTCCAGAGGTGAGGTGAGAATGACAGCCCTTGACACCAAGGTGACATTTGACTGAGAGTGGCATCAACAAGCCCTAGCAAAACTGGAATCAATAGGAATCAAGGGGAAGCCTCTACACTGATTGGTGTCATACCTGGCACATAGAAAGGTGGTTGTAGTTATCACTGCTCAATCATCTCAGGCACAGGACATTACTGCAGCAGTTCTGCAGGGTCTTGGCCCAACCATCTTCAGCTGCTTCAATGACCTTTTCTCCATCACAAGGTCAGATGTGGGGATGTTCATCAACAATTGGTTTGCGAATTCACAGATACTGAATCAGTGAATATCCAAATGCACCAAGATCTGGAAAATATCCAGACTTGGCCTGAAAAGTGACATGCAGCTTACACATCACAAATGCCAGGCTTGACTGTCTCCAAACAAGAGAGAATCTCTCTATCATCCCTTGACATTCAACGGGATTACCATCGCTGAAGCACCCCATCAATGGTAACCTCCAGGATGTTGATCAGAAGCTAATTTGGACTAGCCACTTAAATACAGTAGCTACAAGAGCCTCAGTTAATATATTCAAGAAAAAGATTTTTTTTCAGATTTTAATCGACAACAAGGGTATGGGGAGAACCCAGAAATATGTCATTAAGATAGAGAATCAGCCACGATCATACTGAATGGTGCAGCAGGCCTGAAGGGCCAAATGGTCTGCTCTTGCTCCAAGTTCCTATGTTTCTATGTTAAAAGCAGGTCAGAGGCTAGAGACCCTGCTGTGAGTAATGGAACTCCTGATTCCCTCAAAGTCTGTCCACCATTTACAAGGCACAAGTGAAGAGTGATGCACTTGCGTGGATGAATGCAGCTCCAACAACACTCAAGAAGTTTTTTTTATCATCCATGGAAAGGCTTAGCTGGTTTGGCACCACATCCACAAACATTCCTTCCCTCTACCATCAACACTTGATAGCAGTAATGTGTACTAGCTACAAGATGCACTGCAGATATTCACCAAAGCTTTTTCAATAGCATCTTCCAAATCCATGATCACTACCATCCAGAAGGACGAGGGCAACAGGTACATGGGAACACTGCAAGTTCCTTTCCAAGCCAATCAACATCTTGACTTGGAAACATATTGCCATTCTAACGGTATCGCTGGATGAAAATCCTGAAACTCCCTTCCTGATGTGAAGGTACCGATGTTGAATGGGGATGGACAAAGTCAGAAGTCACACAACACCAGGTTATAAACCAACAGAGGCGAGGTGCGACCTCACCTGACAAAAGAGCAGCGCTCCGAAAGTTCATGATGTCAAATAAACCTGTCAGACTATAACCTGTGTCGTGTGACTTCTGACTTTGTCCTTTCCTGATGGCATTGCTGGTCTATCTACAGCATATGGCCTGCAGAGGTTCAAGGCAGCGGCTCACCAGCACCTTCTCAACAGCACCTGGGAATGAGCAATAAATGCTGGACCAGCCAGCAACGCTAACATCTCATGAATGAATAAAAGCAAAAATTGCTTGATCAAATGAATTCTGTATACAGTTTAGCCAAAATGTTGTTCCACATCTAAAGCATGCAATAAAAAGAATTGTGAATTTAAAGGAAGTCAGAAAGAAAAGTATTTAAGGTAGAGAAGATGTTTAATTCTGGCTCCAAAATGATTTAAAATAGTAGGCAAAGTCTCTATAAAGAATCATTAAGAATTACCATGGGGAAGTTGGTGGTGTCATGGTGACATACTGACATACTGGATTAGAAACCCAGAGGACCAGGCTAATACTTTGGGACAGAGGTTCAAACCAAACCACGGCAGCTGGTAGAATTCAAATTCAATTAGTTATTTCGGAAGTGAAAACTAGTCTATTAAACCATTATGAATTGTTATAAAAACCCATCTGTTTCACTGATGTCCGTTAGGGAAGGAAATCTGCCATTGGTACTTGATCTGGACTGCATACGACCCTAGACGCATAAGAATGTCACTGACTCTTAATTTTCATTCTGAAGTGGTCTCACAAGCCACTTAGGTCAAAGGCATTGAGGAACAGGCAACAAATGCTGGTTTTATTGTAGAAATCCACATCCCATAAAATAATAAGCTAGACTTAGAATGACATTTGGTCTCAACAACATATTTCTCATAAATACAGCCTAGAGTGAAGAGAATCCATCTCTGGCCTGATCAAATATAACTTGGAACAGATCAAAAACAGCTGAGCCTAAAACATGCTCAGTTACATTAAATCAAGATAAGCATTCTTCCATCTGAACTCGTGGCCTTTTAACCCTCTTTAAATATAATGCTCCTTAAAATTCACCTCCTTTCATTCCTATGATGGTTCCTCGAAGACCAACAGGAACAGAGAAGTCCTCCCTCACATTCACAACACGATCAAATAAAAGGTACTCTGCATCTTTGTCTGGCACTATACCATGCTGCTGCTCCAGAGGCTGTGTAGGGAAATAAAAACTTAGAAAGAAAAGAAAACCTTGAAAATTCCCAGGTGTTTAAATGCAGTTTAATTTATATAAAGGAAAAGCAGTTCCAACACATTTTATTCAGCATTACAGCAAAGCTCCAATCTTCCAAATGTTCAGGAAGACTCCAGTGTATTCTACTTCAGAGATTGCACATTTTGGTCATCAGGTTTTGTTGAGGTAATTCAACCTAGATCTGAATTTATCCCAGATGCAAGCTTGTTCCTTCTAACTCACATATATTTCACTCTTCCTGCCTCCCTGCCACTTTTCATAAGCCTGTTGATGGTGCGTGACTCAGTGCTGTTCTCTTGTTCTCCAGTTTCAGAAGAAAAAAAGTCTTAACCTAGTTAAGAGTTGCACTGTCCTTACATTTGTAGCAATGTGGACACTGGAGAAGGCCCAATGGTAAACAACAGGCTCACCTCAAATTAAGACAAAACAGCAATGAATTCTGAACATTTACAGCTGGCTGGCAGGCACAAGGTACAATCATGCTAAAGAAGGAAACAGATATACATGAAGTAGGGATTGGGTGCTGGGTAAATTCAAAGATAAAGGAGAACACTGATGTTGGGTTCCTGTTAGGTTACTGCCCCAACCAAGAGAATGGACTGGAGACCCAATCTTAGGCCTCTACCAATGCTCCAAAAATGCCAGTCACAAGGACAGTGTATGCAATAACCCATAGGGCTGATAATTTAATTTTATGTTTATGTCTCCACTTAACAACCCCTCCCCCATCTTAGCAAGACTGATCATAGAATCCCTACAGTGTGGAAGCAGGCCACTCGGCCCACTGAGTCCACACAAACCCTCCAAACAGCATCCTACTCAGAACCACCCCCTACCCTAATCCACCAAGCCTGCACATCCCTCGACATTATGGGCAATTTAGCATAGCCAATCAACCTAACCTGCAAATCTTTGGACTGTGGGAGGAAACCCACGCAGTCACGGGGAGAATGTGCAAACTCCACACAGTCAAGGCTGGAATTCACAGAATCACAGAATCCCTGCAGTGTGGAAACAGGCCCAACAAGTCCACACTGACCCTCACAGCATCCCACCCAGATCAATTCTCCTATAACCCATCTAATCCAGTCATCCCTGAACACTACGGGCAATTTAGCATGACTAATCCACCTAACCTGCACACCTTTGGACTGTGGGAGGAAACCGGAGCACCCGAAGGAAACCCATGCAGACACGGGGAGAATGGGCAAACTCCACACAGACAGTCGTCCGAGAGTAGAACTAAACCTAGGGCCTTGCCTCTGTGAGGGAGCAGTGCTAACCACTGAGTCGCCCCTGGTCATTATGTGGGAATTTCTAACTAGAGATCTCTACATCGGCAATACTTAACAGATCTTGAAGGGCCGTTTGCACCAACAGCTCTGGAGCAAGACATTGCAAGGTACCAGAGACCTCAAAGAAATATTAGGAAGGATTATTGTTTTAAGCTACCCTCTCCCTGATCTTTTTTTGTGAATGGAACCCTTAAGTTTCTGGAATCCTTATCAATTAAGCCAAACTAGCCCTTTGTTCCCCCCAAAGTTGCTACCCGAAAGAGTGGTTCTATTATTTTTATTTTCATTCCACCTGTTGTTTTCTGCTTGTAGCTCAAATTACCAACTTTGATCTATTGCTAATTTTACCTTGTCCATACAATATCTCACTCTTAGTGTAAAATGTGTAAAACATCCATTTACAGACATGTCAAAGTTCAGACTGGAAATTACCGGAGTGGTTTGTATTTTTAAAAATTCATTTGGAAGCACATTGTTGATTTAGCCTTGGTTGAGGCGCAAATAGCAAAACTGGAAATATGCCAAAGGAAACAAAACTTCATACTGCCCATTTCCATGAGGGTTTAACTGCAGGATAATATTGAAAACTGTGTTGCCATGTTGAATAAATACTTTTCCACAGTCATCAAGTACCAGCCAACAACATATCAACAACTGAAAGAATTTTGTATTCAATTCTGGTCGCCACACTACCAGAAGGACGTGGTAGTTTTGGAGAAGGTACTGAAAAGATTTACCAGGATGTTGCCTGGTATGGAGGGCATTAGGTATGAGGAGAGGCTGGTAAAACTTGGGTTGTTCTCACTGGAACAACGGAGGTTGAGGGGCGACCCAATAGAGGTCTATAAGATCATGAAGGGACAATGTGGACAGTCAGAAGCTTTCTCCCAGGGTGGA